AAGCCTTTATGTCACTCACGCCGTACCACCTGCATTGGTCGGACGCGCTCATCAAGCGTGTGGAACTGAGACTACGGCAACTACACGCGTGTCTCAATGAGTTCTACCAGAAACACAACTACTCCTTTAATTCGCATGCAGCAGCAAGCACAACAAGGACAGCAGATGGTGAGCATCCACAGCAAGGCACTGACAACACCTTCCAGCGGGAAGGACCTATTAACACTGTCGGAGGCTTCCTGCTACGCACATGTGTGCACTCATCACCGTTCTACGAGACGCAACTTGAGCACGGTGTGGGCGCGGACCTCGCGCTTACCCTGCCGGAGGAGGTGTGCTCGCTAAAAGACATCCAGGACGGCCTGTACTTGGAGCGGCGACATGCTTTCTTGCTGAAGGTGGAGAATTTTCTGAAGAAATACAATGAACAGCGGCTGCAAAAGGCAAATGCGGAAGCTACAGGAAGGCGTAAAGACGATGATGATGATGATGACGACGACGAAGACGCTGAAGTGGAGCGGCATTCACGTGTGGTGTGGGACGTGCAGCGCGTCCCCTTCGGTGGTGGCGGCGGATGGGCCAACACGGAGAAGCAAATCGTGCGCGTGGTGTTCCTCCGCCCAAAACGTGGTGGTGCAATGCGTCGTGAGACATTTCACGTTGATGTGCACTTTCAACCGACCGCTCTGACGGGCCGAATTGCAAGCGCGGCGGCGGTCCGCAAGCACCCGCACTACAGCTATCTGGTGCAGGAGGATGCCCTCATGACGGTGCACCTGCGCAAGCTGCACGAGCTATACTCGCAGAGCCACTCGCTGTTGCGTGCCACAGTGTTCCTCAAGTGCTGGGCTCACCACGTGGGTCTCACCTCACGCACCTCAGGGCACCCTGAGGGTCTGAGCAGCTTCCACATCTCTGCACTTATACTGCGGCTTGTCGAGGAGGGTGTCGTCNCTCCCGCCATGTCGGAGGAAAACGTCGTGCGGGCGGTGTGGGTGTATCTGTCGCGCAACATTACGGAGAGAAATATCAACAACGAAGGCGAAAGCAGCAACAAAATTAATAATAAAGAGGCGCCAGTTCCAGCAGCGGAAGAGAAGGGTGAGGTGGCGGTGCTGCGTCTCACAGGAGAGACGATGAACCTGCTCTTCCGTACATCCACGGACTTTTTCCGCCACATCATAAAAAAGGCTGCGGACGAGGCCCTGCAGCTGCCGCACTCCGCGGATGCGATTATGCAGACACCGTTTCAACCACTGCAGCTCCGCCTCGATGTCTGCCTCGTTGTAGAGGGTCTAACGGGGTACCTAACGGAGGTTGACCGCACGGCGCGTGTCAAGACGAGTGGTGCCGCGTTTTCCGTGTCGACGCAGAAGGCACGAGCGCTGTGTGAGATTGTACGGGAGGCGCTTGGCGCACGTGCGAACTACACTACGGTGTGGCGCTGCAGCGATGACGCAGTGCAGGTGGCGGTGCAGCTGTCGACTGAGGCGGAGGGACGCAACCGTCTCACCCGCGGCCCTGCGCTGGAGGACGCCGAGGGTGTTGAGCGTTTTAATGCATTCTGGGGGAAGGACGTCGCGTCGACGCGCCAGTTCCCCGACGGCGGCATCTACCGCTGCGTCTTGTGGCGCTTCGACGAGGACGCCGGCGCCCACACGTCCATCGCGTTGCCCGCCACAACAGTCATGCGTCGCGTGCTGGAGTTCGCGCTACGCAAGCATGTCGATGCGGCCGCGCGCGTATCGGTGCTGTTGGGTGGCCTTGAAGGTGTGTTGGCAGAGCGCGTCGGTGCGGAGTGGCGTGATGCGGCGCCATTCATGCAGAAGTCACTGATGGAGGCGTGCAGGGACGTCGAGACGATGATCGCGGAGGTCCCACGCACGGCACTGCCGTGCAAAATCACTGCGTTCGACATCATCGCCGCCAGCGAACGGCACACAGAGGCGTTCCCTGTGCGCCCACACCTCGCGCTGACGCAGACGGCAGACGATCTCACGCAGCCGAGCTTCGCTGGCCTTAGCACGGCACCCACCATCGAGCCCATTCACGGTGTTCTGACGATCGACGACAAGAATAAGATTCCTGATACTCCGGAGGCCATCGCGACTATTAAGGGCGCCATCTGTGCACAACTCTCCAGGGTGCTGCAGGAGCACTACGGGAGCGACAGCAGCAAGGAGAAGGCAAAGAAGCGAGTGAAAAAGGAAAACAGAATCCTCCACGGGCACCCGCAACAACAGCAAGAAGAAGAGAAAAATGAGGACAAGAAGTTCAGTGTACGCACATCATGCACGAGCACCTCTGTTGATATCATCTATAAAGGATACCTGTTTCGGTTATACATTGCGCATTACCGTGAGGTGTCTCTGTTAAAGACGCTACAGCGCGAGGCAGAGGCTGCCATGATTGAGCGCAAACTTTTCTGGAGTGTGCAGCACGCCAAATTTATGCGTACCATTGCCTTTGGTCACCACAGCTACGCCACAGCTACTCGTTTGGCAAAACGCTGGCTAAGTGCCATGCTAATGCTGGAATTCATATTACCAGAGGCGGTTGAGCTGCTTGTGGCAAATGCATATCTCGGGCAGAACCCACCAAAGACTCCCGTGACAGGATTCATGCGCTTTGTTCAGCTTCTCGCCACACACGACTGGTCAACCCCGCTGGTGCTGCCCTACTCCGTAGACAGCAAGGTGCAGGCAGATGCTGCTGCACTCGTGCGGACGATGGGTGAGCAGCAGGGCATGTACATCGCGACTCCATACGCCCCACTGGAGAGCCCCTTCACGGCCCACACACCAAGACCGATGATCATGCACCGTGTGGTTCAGTTGGCCAAGGGGGTGGTGAAGACGCTCTTGACGCACCTCGATGGTCACGCCATCTCGGCGAATGTTGAGGCGGCAGTGTTCACGTCAGACCCAAGTGCGTTTGACCTCCACATGCCGTTTCACCCGCATCTTCTTCTACAACCTGACCGGTTACTCGTACCCCCGTCTGCCGCAGCAGATACGGTGGATGCTGCAGCAGCGCCGGGCACTGTCGTCAGCAATAATAAGCACGGTGGAGGTCCCTCGTCTACATTGGGCGGAGCATCATCATCATCACCAGAGGCGGCGATAATGCCTCAAATGATGTCGCGCGTGTGGCAGCTGGACGAGTTGGAGGAGGAGAAGAGCAAAGTATATCTGGCGGAGCTTGTTGAGCGGGAGCCTGCTGCGCACGTTGTGCGGAGTGTGCGTGCCGCCACACGAGACCGTTGTATGGTTTTCTTCGACTGCCTTGCGCCTCGCGCCATCTACGTTATCACCATCACACCGTCGCCGATGCGAGAGGTCTGCCAGAAGTTACATGACGACATTCTTCGCGTCAGTCGTGGGGCGTTAATGCCTGCAACGTGGACATCGGCGGAGGGGTCCAGAGGGACGAGAGTTGGGAAAAGGGCAGCCGCGCCCCTCTCGTTGCGTCCCGCCAAAGCCGGAAAGCGGCTACCAGCAGCAGCAGCAGCAGAAGGTGTGCCCACGAAGATGTCCGTCCAGAGTGGTGAAGGAGCGAAGCGGCGGAAGCGTGTCCGGGGAGATGGAAACGGCGTTGACGGGGATGCGCCGCAGTGTGCTGGTAGCCCCCAGGCCAAGCGGCCTCAGCAGCGAGCATCAGTGGAGGGAAATGAGAAGAAAAAACAGGCAGCGAATCCCGTAAGCAAGAGGAAAAAGGTAAAGTGAACGTAACAGGACACAGAAGCCTCGCTCCGTATTCGATTAAACACCTGGCCAAGTAGTCCTTAAAGAGATGAGTGGAAAAAAAAGGGGGTTGAAGAAAAGCGGACCACTTGGATGAGCCAAGAGAGAGGTGTAAAATGAAGAAGTGAGGTGAAATAGGGGTGGTAGCACTGTGTTCATTTGTTTTGCTCTCTTTCTCTGTGTGTGTGTGTGTCTCTCTCTGTGTGTATTTTCTTTTTGTCTGTGTGTATTGCCTCCGAGACGCTCGCAATCAAGGTAGGGACGCGAGGTGGGCAATGCTGCGGTGGATGTCGCTGCTGCTGCTACCGCACCGCAAGGGCGCAGCGTTGGACACCCGCCGACTTGTCCCCCAACGACACATAACACCCCGGCGTGCTCTGCGCCGCGGTGCGTTGTTGGCGGAACTGGACAGGCCGCAGCACCCGCACGCCAGCGGGACGGCAGCAGTGGAAGTTGGGAACAAAGCGGTGGCGGCAGGGCTAGAGGGGATCGGTGCCACAAAGGTGGATGCCGCTGTTACATCATTATCATCATCAACGTCAGCACGTAGCACGGACGCGTTCCTAATCCCTTCTCGCCATGCAAGGAAACTTGAGAGAGCGGCGATGTCTGTGAATCCCTCAGCACAGCAATCATCGTCTGCTAGACGTGCTTCGGCAGACGAAGACGGTGTCAACTCTTCACAGCGGGTCATGTCGTTAGACGCACTGGTAGCACAACAAACAGCACTACGCGAGATGTTCAATGAGGCCGAGCGGCGCTGCATCCGCCTGCGGAAAGACATGGCGTGCCTGCAAGAGGAGCGGCGCGCCTTTCACCTTTCCCACAACCGCGCGCCATCAGACAAGGAGGTGAGTCCTTTCGTTGACGTTGCGCTGGCACCGACAGCGGCACTGAAGCTTGTGAAGCACCTGTCGCCACGCTCCAGTGCACGCGAAGCGGTGGAGCACAGCATCAGACTGCAGCAGAGCGTGGCGAAGAGTAAGTTGGTGCAGAGCGGGGAGCAAACTCTCTTCCGGTGTCTTCGCTGCTTCTCCGTGTATGCCGCGCGGCCTCGGACGCTGTTGCGCGACGAGGTGGCGCACAGCTGGCTGCAATACGAAGTGGAGAAGAAGAAGGTCACAGAGGCAAGGGAATTGGCCCAAAGACCTCACCTGCGTAAGCGGAAATATAGTTTAGGTCGCCAACGAGAGGCGCGTGCCAGAGACCCACGCTGCTGCCCGATGTGCGGCAGCCCGAAGGCCCAATGGCTGATGGAGTACGTGCACCACCGCACCCACGCATGAGCAAACATTACTCTTGACTGCCTCTCCCTTTTTGCTCTATTTTCTTCCTGTATCTCCGAACCGCTCTTGCGAATGTCATACATGCTTCAAATTCTGTGTACCTATGTTATTATTTATAATTGCTTCTTGGCTGGTTTTACTTTATAAACTTTATGATTTCTTGTGTAGTCAGATGAAGTGGAGTTCGCAAAACCGTGCACATGATTGGTGGGGGGGTATTATTGTGGCATCGAGGCGCAACGTCTTGCTTCTGCTGGTATTAGTGGTCGTATTGATTTTGCTGCAGGTAATAGCTACCGTTCAGAGTATCGAAGAGGATGAGAAGACACCTCTCCAAGTCGCCCCTGTTTCTTTATCTCCTTCACCTTCCCCAGCGCTATCACCACAGAAACAACCTCAACAAGAACAAGTTCGGTTGCCTTCTTCTTCATTCCCACGCACCACAACATCTCTGGTGACTCTTGTGCCACCAACGCAGTCATCCGATGCCGATCCTCCTGTTGAGGTTGTCGTGCACAACAACTCCGGCACTATCCACGGCGCCAGATTCGCGAATAGCGGCCATGATGGGGGGCCATTCATAACGACCGTTAAGCAGATTAGTTACTGTCACTACGAGGTGCACAACTTTTGTCTGGAGCGTGGCACCCTGCTGTTTTTTCACGACCCCAAACGGTCGTCATCAAAGTTCAAGGGAGGTTTGCGTGCCTGCAACGAATTTTCACGCCATAGTCCATCGATTTATATCAAGTACTGGTCCTCTCCTCTGCCGGATGATGCGACGGCGGTGCTTCCGGCCCCTCTCAACACCGTTACAAAGGGTTGGATCCTCCAGTTCTGGTGTCAGGATTTGTTTCACATGACACTGTCGCTGTTACCAGCCTTTCATACCAAAAGCGCAGTCGAACAGCAAGACGCTGATGTTTACATTCGGATAGCGAAAGGTAGGCGGAAGAAGGGCGGGTACTGCAATGTGAAACTAGGCGATCCATTAAACTTTGAGAAGACCCAAAACCCAAAGTATGGGCAGGATAGTCAGTTCCCTTTCGCAGGTAACCCATACTGGCCATTCTACCGCATCTTGACGAATCGATCGGAGAAGATTCACCCGTTGGTGCCTGGGCAGAGCGTTCAGACGGCGTGCTACCAGAACGGTGTCATTGATAAGCGGTATATCAAGGGCATGATGGGTGAGGAGGCACGAAATTACAGCGCCACTCTCCTCGAACTAATGGGCGTACCATTTAGTCAACCACGGCCGTGTGGAAACAAGTATCGTCTAACCTTGATTGACAGGCGGGGCAGAACACGACGACTTACTAACATACCGGAGCTTATAAATCTCGCACAGAGCATGGGATTCGAGGCACAGTCTGTGGCCTTTGAAACAATTCCTATTCGGGAACAAATACGTCTTGTAACTATGACTGATGTGTTGATTGGTGTACATGGTAACGGCCTCATGTGGCTTCAGTTCTTGCCACCAGGTTCTGTTGTAATTGAGTTGGTTGGTGTGTGGTACACACCCTACGCGCTGCTCTGGGGGCACACCTACTTCCACTCCAAAATGCGGAACAACCCGGAGTACCAACGGCGAGGCGAGTACTACCCCTTTGCACACAATGTATCTGAAGTGCAAGAGTTGCTGTACCAGGCAAAGGAGGCATTGGACCGCAGTAGGTGTGGTGACTCGCCATTTCAGCCACCAAACGAGCAACTGGCGAACTTGTACGGTAGCTGCGTGCCACATTGCTGATTGCGTTTGACATGGGTGAGTGTGCTGCGTGAAGGGGATGCCCGTGCGTGTAATGGGCTTTGCCAGAGCTTTTTAACACTTGCTTTTTTTTTGCCACGCCAGGACATCGATCATCTGGTCAGGGAGTGTAGAAACCATTTTATTAATCTATTTTTTTTTCTTGGGGGGGGGGNGGGGGGGGGGTGCTCTCCATGGGTTTGATTGTTTTTTTCTCGCTTTTTTTGATTGCATTTCTCTTCTTTCTTTTTTATTATCTGTGTGGTGACTTTAAGGCGGCTGCGACATTTCAACGCTTAATTTAAAATATGAATAACGCAGCACCAAAAGATGTTCTCTTGCGTCTTGCCCGGTGCTCAGAGCTTTCACTCTTCTTGATTGTGTGTGGATGCCGTATGATCGTGTTGCTGGCGATGTTGTTCTGCCGTGCAGTGCTGCCAAAACTGATTGGCACGGACCTCCTCCTAGACAGTGGTGGCCTTTTATACGAGGATACAAGCAGAGAGTGGAGTGTTCTCGACTACCCCCGTAACTGGGATGCCGTTCACTACTTTCACGTGGCGAAGAATGGCTACTCGCACGAGAATAATTGTGTGTTCTTCCCACTCGTTCCATTCATGGTACAGGCCATGTCGTGGCTAAACACGAACGTTTTGCCGGCCTCCCTTGCGGCTGTTCCCGTCTCCTTTCAACTGAGCTTGCTTAATGTCCTGCTGGGCGGTGCGGCCGGTATTTTTCTGCGCCGTACCACTGTTCTGACGCTACTTGGGCCCGCACCGATGAAGAAGGATACGGTGGCGTTGGGTGGCACATGGCTGGATGAGTTGCCGCCGCCACCGCCACCGCGTTGGGTCGCGAAGGAGAAGGCACGTGACATCGACAACACGCAAACACTCTGGCGGGAGGTGGGCGGGGCAATGTTGATGTGGATTATGAACCCTACAGTTGTTTTCACCGTGGTTGTGTACACAGAGGGTGTCTTTTCGTTCCTGACATTCTTAGGTGTGTATCTCCTTGTTCTGCCGACAAGTGCGAAGGGTGGAAATTCGGCAGTGGGTGCACTTACCGAAGCTGGAGCCGTGGCTTGCTTCACGTTGGCAGGGTTTGCACGCTCAAATGCCTTCCTCTACATTGGGTATCTGCTATATCCTATTGTGCTGCAGTTGTTCTTCTTCAGCACCTACAGGAGACGTTACGCCCGTTTCTACGGTACCGCAGAATTGCCTGGGCGATGGCCGAGTGCTGCGCGATGTACAGTGACCGTATTAGAAGTATTGATTATTATGTCGCCGTACGTGTTCATGAACTTCTTTTGTTTCAGTCGTTTTGTCCCATTGTGGGATGCCGCATCAAGGAAGGCGATCGGCAATCACTTCTGGCATTTCTACGGGTGGATGCAGAAACGTTACTGGAACGTAGGATTTCTCTCGTCGTACACGCTAAAGAACGCCCCGAACGTGGTCATAGCATCCCCCATTCTGTTTTTTACGATGCGAAGTATTCTGTTGTTCTATCTTCACCCAACTCGGGCAAAGATGACAACGGCGTCATCTCCAGTGGGTGCTGCTGATGTGAAGGGCAGTAATAGCAAAAAAGGGAATAATACACACACACAGTTGCGTTCATTGCATAAATCCTTAGAGGGTATTGTGCAGTCTTCAAACACGGTTTGTCTTTTGCTTCTGATCTTAATCGGGGTGAGCGTGGTGCATGTGAATGTAGTAAACCGCTTCATCATGTCCTCCCCCGCGCTCTATTGGTATTGGAGCAGACAGATCGTTAATGATCCATGGGGAGGTTACACGGTCGTTATGCTGCGCATATTTGTGATCTGGATGGGAATTGGAGTTTTGTTCTTCCCAAACGGAATGCCGTGGACATAACCGAAGAGATTCATTGCTGTGCTCCCTCAGCCTCCTTTTTGCTCTTTGGGGGCACGCGCGTGTATGTGTTACATCAGCCAGGCGCGGCATCGGTCCCTTTCACGGGGATGTTTTTTTTTTTTTGCTTTTCTCTCTCTCATCCGCTACTCTGAATAGATTTATCATTTTTGTTTTTTGCCCCATTCTATTTCTCATTGTTCGTGTTCTTATTTGTGTTGGATTGACCTCACGTAAAACGCAGGGGCCAGGATCCCCTCGCATCGCAGGATTATGGAGAGCAGGCGCGGAAGCTCCAAGTCAAAAACGGTGCCAAAACCACGCGGGATACGGCAAGCGGCTGGCAGTCGTGTGTTGGCGTCCACGGCGACGGAAGCTGCGTCGCGTCGCCAAGGCAGTTTGGCCGCCAGCAGCAAGCGGAAAGGCAGATATGCTAGTCCGAGGCCTGGGACTAATCAAGGGCGCGTAGTGGTGGTGAAGTGGTCGGTTGCGTCGAACACCAATTCGGCGGTCGGACGACGCTACGGGTCCATGTCCACGATTGCATCCACGCGTCAGTGGTGGAACAACCGGTCCCTGCGGAGTTTGGTTGTTTCAATCTACTGCACCCTGTTCGTTGCCGCCATGCGCCGCGTCGTTATTCGTCATCGCAAATGGGTGGTCTGGGAAAACATCGAAAAGCCGCGGGCGGCGTTCAAGATTCAAACAGCGTGGCGCGCTCGCCAGCAGAGGAGGCGTATGCGGCACGAGGCCGCTGCTCGGGTGCTCGTTCCCTTCCTGCGCGAGAAGATTGGTCGTATTCTGGCGGCAAAGGAGAAGAGTGCGCTTCTGTTGCAGCGCGTTTTCAGATCGCAGAAAGAGCGTCACTTTACTCATTGGTTGTACGAGCAAATGAAATACAACAGGGCCCTGCACGTAGTGCGCCAACACCTTAAACAGTACATGGCGAAACGATGCCTTCTATTTCTCACTCTTCAACGTGATGAGAGGCAGCTATGTGAGGAGTGTTGCGCCATGGCTGCGCGATGCCTCATTCGCAAAGAACGTGCAGAACTTCTGAATATTTTGCATTGGATGAATACAGCTTCTCAAGAGACCTTGACACCGATGGTACCAAGATCCATGCTTGACAGGGAAATTACCCGCTGTACCGGCTATTGCCCCTGCCCACCGCCACCGCTACATGTAGAAGTGACCGACTCGTCCTCAAATCCTTCTGCCGCCGCACCGGCGAGCAGCGGCGTGTTGCCGTTAGAAGGTAATCCGCTGGATGTATCCTCTGTCGAGGCTGGAAATAGTGGCAAAAGCGGCAGCACCAGTTCCATTCAAAGCGCCGGCAGTTGTGTGATGGGCTTGGGTGACGATAGTGTGTCCTCGTGGATCTCGGCCCTGCATACCGAAGAGGGTGCGCGTCAGCTGCTGGACGAACTCTTTGGACGGAAGTCTCCGTCTTACCCACTGCTGCGCGGAAGCTCTGAACGATGTCCCAGTTCTGATGCTGACAGTGTGGCGCACAATACTTCTCACCCCTTTGTGTACGGCTCGCAGCAATGCGAAACACGGCACCAATTGCAAGCTTTATGCCTCTCACTTCCCAGGCCTCCCTCGTTAAAGGAGGGTGAGGGGGACATATGCTCTAGTAACGTGGTGCAGCAGCAGCAGACGTTGTCATTGAACACAGCTGAGGCATCACTGCATCGTGTGGTCGATGCCTTTACGGATCTCATTGTTCGAACAGAGGCGATTGAACGCAAGGCATTGGAGTTGGACCTCCAAAATCGCCACAGTGAGCTTATGCATCAAATCGACTGGTTCGCCGTCACGGTTCAGGCCACACATGCTTCCCCGCCGCTATACGCTTCTCTCCTGTCAAACATGAAGGAACCATGGGCGGTGCGCCGGGCAGAACAACTTTTCTGCCAGGAGCATGAAGAACGGCTTAGGTTGGTGGAGGAGTACCAGGCGATGCCTCTGCGCTTCCTGAATCGTCCACTACTCAACTTTGTCGCAGAGGAGCGGCGAAGACGGCTGCGGGAACGTGTGCAGACCATGAACGGTGTCGAGAAAGGGGCGGAGGCGGCAGCGGAGGAGGAAGACAAAAAAAGAATACAGCCCTCACCATTTTCGATTACTGCAATGCATTCAAGATGGCCGCCCAACACAGATATAACACCGATCAGGAGCTTCCACAATGCTTCGCAGTCCCCAGCGGCGCAACGGAAAGGGCACGATGCGTGCACTCTCTCTTGGCTATTTCCTGGGCCTTCTGAAGAAACAACGCAGCTCCAGCATCAGCAGCATCTACCGAAGAAGAAAGATAGTGGCAGCGCCCTTCGCCCCACATCGTCCACAATGTCACAAGTTGTGTCACAGGAGGCGGGTCTGCCGTTTAGCCAAAAGAGCATCACACCGTCAGTAGATGATGCATTCAGTGACAGTAGAAGCGGCATGCATCAGGACGTCACGATGCGTGAGTCACCAAGGGGCACCAACAGCAAAACTGTTCTTCCGAGCTTCCTCTCCTTCTTCACGCCGCCCACTAACACCAGAAATGTCAACATTGTGGATCTCTCGAGTTCTGCGTTGAGTCGAAATCAGAGCTCGCTCTCCGCAGACAGCGAGAATGCGGTTTTTCCACGGATAAAAGTGTTCTCGTCTACTAGCAGTGGTGTGGGCGGCGGGATGGATGCTACGGACGACAACAACAACAGTGCCGGTGCCAGCAAGGGTCCGAAGGCGCACTTCCACCTGCCGGTGGCTCCAAGTAAACAAGTTCAATACGACGCTGGCGATTCCGAAACGGCGCTCAAAAGCACGAGTAGTGGGAACCATGGCGGCTGCGGCAGTAGCATGCCGCGTGGGGTCCCAATCCCGCTACTGCGCGCCTCTCCAAACTTGGAGCGCAGCACAGTGCCATCGCTTCCCCATCTCACACGTACCCCCGAGCGGGAATGTGTCTTGCACAAGGAAAGTGGTGCGGATTACGTACGTAGCTGCCGGCTTCGGACACAAGACATCCCAAAAGAGGCCCATGAGACACCATTGCTGGAGAGCCGTCAGAGAATGTCACCGCTGCCGTCACCTGCGCCAATGGAAGGTTTCGCATCCTTCAAAGTACGGGTGGGACGCGCTACAAACCCGAGACTAAAGAAGCTGATGATGCAGACGGCTGCGACCACCTTGGGGTCTGGAGCCTAGCTTGGATGGGCATATGGCTCTGTGTGTGTGTGTATGTTTGTGTAGGGGGAGAAAGTGGCCGAGAAAGAGAGAGAGAGAGAGAGAGAGAGAGAGAAAGGTGGTGCTTGACCTCGTCTTTTTGGAAAGTCTTCATGTAAATTGCGCAATTTTCCACATGATGTGTTTGTTTGTTTTTTGGGTTTGGCTGTTTTCTGTGTGTGTGTGTGTGTGCGTGCGTGCGCGCGCCTGCGTACGCCATCATTGTCACGCCACTCGAACTGTGCCTTTCCCGCGCCACTGAACACAAAGGAAAAGCAAAAGGAAGGGAAAGAAAGGTGTGGCATTAGGAATGGGTAGTCGCCGACTCGGGGGGAATTCGCGAACGCTTCGCAAGAAGAAGCTGAAGATGTCCAAGAGGAGCTCCGTGTTGGGCAGTGCTGTGGCTACGAGTGGTGGTGGCATTACGGTGGCAAAAGGTGCGCGACTGTGCCTCAAAAAGGCGAGAGGCCGGTCCTCAGCTAGGAAGCTCCTCACCACAATAGACTCTTTGCGGAAGCAGCGCAGCCAGTTACTGAAGCGGCAAGCTGCCGAGCGTATGGTGCTCAAAGAGCATACCCGTGACTTGGAGGCACGTCGGCAGCGGATTCGAAAGGGCGAAAACGCCAAAACGGAGCGACGGGAGCTGGGCAAGTACATTCGTCAGCTGCAGGAGGAGCAGAAGACGAAGCACCAGTCAGATCTACATGCTGTCGAAGAGGCTTTGAAAATACACCGTACAACAAGGGGCCACGAGGTGTCACACGATGCGGAGGACTGGGAAGACGTTGAAGATGATGTCGACGAAATCGACAAGGATGAGCTGCAGGATATGTTCGCTCACCTAACCACATAAGTAGTAAGTTGTGAGGGTTGTTGGGTAGAGTTGTGGATCTACCAGATGGGTGGCGGCTGCTTCACTGATGCACGAGTGAGCGACGCACGTTTGGCTGCGTTCGCAAGTTTGAAGAAGAAATGAGAGAGTGACGATTAAACGATATGGGAAAAGGAAAAGGGGAATAACAAAGGAAATAATGTCTATTTCAAATGGGGTCTGAGAGTCAGCTTATTCTGTGCTTAATGAAGTTGCTGTATTTCCTTGTTGGGCTTTATTTCTTTTTTTGTTGTTGTTGTTTTTTTGCTGCTTTCCCCGTTCTGTCTTTTGACCACTGAAACTGTGCACGCGTTCCCCCCGCGCCCCATTTAGTGTGTCCGCGATCATTGTGTGTGCTGAATTGAACCATGCCGTCCGCTCCCCCATTGTCAGAGGCGGCCGCCGCCTGCCGTGCGAAGATGCAGGCCAAGAACGTGAACCCAGCGTGCATCCAGACCTTCTTAGCCCAGCACGCGGCCATCAGTAGCGGGCAGACGGGAAACATCCCCGAGAGCAGCATTTCCCCGGTGGATGCGCTCGACGCGCTGCAGAACCTTGGCGCGCAGACTGGCGCCGCGCAGCTCGGGAAGACAGTGGTGCTGAAGCTCAATGGCGGCCTCGGCACCGGCATGGGGCTGCGTACTGCTAAGAGCCTCCTTCCCGTTAAGGATGGCAAGACGTTCCTGGACTTCACCGCGCTGCAAGTGGAGCATCTCCGCAAGACGTGCGACAACAACTTACGATTCATGCTAATGAATTCGTTCTCCACTTCGGCGGACACAAAGGCGTACCTAAAGAAGTACCCACGCCTCTTTGACACCTTTGACGCGGAAGTGGAGCTAATGCAGAACTTTGTGCCAAAGATTCGTCAAGACAATTTGTTCCCTGTCACCTATGAGGCCGATCCTGCGTCTGAGTGGGCGCCGCCGGGCCACGGAGACATATACACCGCTCTCTACGGTAGCGGGAAACTGGATGAGTTGCTCAGGAAGGGGTATCGTTACATGTTTGTTTCAAACGGTGACAATCTCGGTGCAACGCTTGACGCCCGAATACTCACCTATATGCAGGAACACCAGTTGGAGTTCCTTATGGAAGTGTGCCAGCGGACGGATTCCGACAAGAAGGGTGGTCATCTTGCTTACCAAACTGTCACGGACAGTGCTACTGGGAAACAAGAGCGTCGGTTTATTCTTCGAGAATCTGCGCAGTGTCTGAAAGAGGATGAAGACAGTTTTCAGGATATCACAAAGCATCGTTTCTTCAACACGAACAACCTATGGGTCGATCTCTCTGCCCTCAAGAAGGCGATGGACGCTCACAGCGGGACGCTGCCACTCTCCGTCATTCGAAATGCGAAGACAGTGAACCCTGTCGATGGCAATTCAACAAAGGTGTATCAGTTGGAAACAGCCATGGGCGCGGCCATCACCTTCTTCAGCCGTTCAGGAGCATTGGTAGTTCCGCGGGAGCGTTTCGCACCAGTGAAGACGTGCTCTGACCTCCTCGCTTTGCGTTCTGATGCGTATGTCGTCACGGAAGACCAGCGGCTTGTTCTGCGGGAGGAGCGAGGTGGCAAGCCGCCGATGGTTGACCTCGACAGTCAGCATTACAAGACAATATCTGGGTTTGAGAGACTCATAAAGGACGGCGTGCCTTCCCTGCAGCACTGCACCCAGCTTATTGTGAAAGGCCTGGTGGAGTTTAAAGACCATGTCGTTGTGAAGGGGAAAGTGACAATTCGCAACAGTCAGGAGGAGCTCCTAGTAATCAAACACGGTCGTGTGCTCTCCGATGAGGTCGTCGAAATGTAACTAGTTCGCATTCGAGGGAGGAATGCACCAAAAAAAAAAAGTCGGGGAAAGGCAGCTATTGATTATCAGCAAATTTATGGGAAAGAGTTTCAATGATATACAATAAACAAAAAATGGGTGTGGAATTTTTGATCGACTGTCAACATCATTACTCAATAATGAAGTGTAAAGAATGTCGTGTATTGTTTGGTCATTGTGTACACAAATATACTCCCCCTCACCTGCACTATAGGGATATAAGCACGGCTACGATGTGCGATGCAGCATGTGGCGCGTCGGATAGTCATGGAACTGTGGTTGTGGCGCTGTCAGACTCGCTTTCGACAAACGCGGTGAACCGAGGCCTCTCGGACTTGCACACTCCCACATGGCTCGCCCTTGTCAGCACAAATGTAATTCTGCGGACGGTGCTATTTCACCCGCTTAACGTCGCCATTGCCCGTAAACGCGTGACACACGAGGACCGACCGCCGTCGGTGTCTGCACTCATGAGCCAGGCGTACCGCGGTGAGGTAGGGCCAAAGGGCGTGCCGTCAAGAGGTGGCGTACGTGGCATCTATCGGGGTTTTGGCGCAGCCACGGTGGGGAACCTCATCGGTGAAGTTGTCTACCTCCTCACCATGGAGTCTGTGAAGGAGGAGCTGGAGGGCGGGTCTCCTGCTCTGGGCAAAGACTTAGGAAAGGGGCACGAATTCAACGCCAATAGTCACGCTGCAGCTGTGGGTGGCATGGCAGGTGACGCGGCTGCTCTTCTTCTCATCACACCGTTTGCTGTTGTGTGCAACCGTCAAATGACAGCTGGCTACGGCATGACCGCCTCTAACGTATACAGATCTGCGTGGGCAACAGCGCGGGAGGTGTGTGGCTTCTACCAGCAACCAGGTGGATCGTTTACCCGACGCGTGTGGGGTGGCCTACGTGGTCTGTACGCGGGTTTGTCCCCAGGCATTGTGTTACTACCCGCGAGTGGGATGTGGTGGGCCCTCTACAGCGAAACCAAGTCGGTTCTGTACAGACTTACAGATCCCATCTTGTCGCGGTGGGAGCTTGAACGCAGGAAAAGCGATTCTCAGCAGAAGCAGCAGCCACTCTGGAAGCAGAACTGGTTACTTTCTCCAACTGACAATCCTGTACTTAACGCCATGGCAGGGACGGTTGCTAGTGCTGCAACGACGGTGGTGTTTAATCCCATTGACGTTCTCCACACGCGTTTGCAGGCTCTGCCTCCTGGGATATTTAGCACCACGAAGAGCGTGCCATTCGCCCGTGTACGACATATCGTCAATGATCTCATTCATACTGAGGGTTGGCGAGGTTTTTTCAAGGGTACAACTGCGAATACATGCGTTGCGGTTATGAATGGCGTCGTATTTTCCTTGTTATTCGAACTTACAAAACTGGGCAGTGATCGGGATTTCCTGCGCCAGCTGTGAAACAGAGGACATTAAGTAATTGTGTTCTTCCTGCCGCAATAGTCGTAAAATTTTAAACGGAGAACTGTTGTTGTGTCGGTGATGGTTGTGGCTAAGACCTTGCCGCTACAAGGATGCATTCTCTCATATTTATAGTCACATTGGCTCCAAGGAAGAAACGAAAAAAGCTTTTGCTTTTTTCTTATGTTTGTTTTTTCAACCGTGTACCCACGAGACACGTGCGCGTTCGCCCACGCCGTTATGGGCCGAGAGGAACGCAACACGTAAAACCTACACTTGACTGTGAAGGGATCCGTGCGGCATTTCGTTGCACCCTTTATAGGGAGTGTTGTCCGTTATTTAATTATTATTATTTTTTTTTTTGGTTTTGCTTAAATCAATGTGCGTTGCACCACAGTTACTTGTGGGATTGGCTCCCCCCTGTAGTCGGCTCTGCTTTTTTTTTTTCTCTTTGTTCCTTTTTCTCTTGCCTCGCCGGTGGGTTGTGTCGTTGGGTAAGCAACAGGGGAGGCACAAACACAGATCCACAGAGAAGGACAAAAGAAAAAAATGGCGGTTGCTGGTGGTGGCGATATTGAGGAGCTCGTGAAGCAGATCACAAGCCACCCTGGCGTGCAGGGGATGATCATCGTGAACACAGACGGTATTCCCATTCGCCACACCTTTCAGGAGCACTCTCGGCTCCTTGCGGTGCAGTACAGCGCGCTGTTTCAGAGTCTGGCCATGAAGGCCCGGAGCACGGTGATGGAACTAGACAACAACAATGACCTTCTTTTTCTCCGTGTTCGGTCTAACAAGCACGAGGTACTTGTGGCACCCGACACAAAGTACCTATTGATCGTTATTCAGCAGGTAGAGAAAGCCGGAGAGGCGCCGATTGATCAGGGACGGAAGGCATAGAGGCTGCAGCTGCAGCCGTGGAGGGCAGGCGTGTTGCGCGCTGAATCCCTTTATCTCTTCCTTCTAGTATGGGTGCTCTGCTTGGCGATCAGGCGATGGAGAAAAAGGAAATGGGGTGAAAGAATATGGGCAAAGGGAAAGGTTAACGCCACTCCGCTGTACCTTTTCTCCGCTTCTTTACTTCCTCTTCCTCTTCCTCTTGTCTCCGTCTGGTATGTAAGTACAGATGCGATGGATTATATGATTGTTTGTCACTCCTCTACTTTGATTGGTTTGCACGCTTCATGTGCAAATGATTGACAACAGAGATCGGTGATATTTGGCTACAGATAATGTATTTCTCTCGCTTTCTCTTTTTCTTTATTTCGTTCTTTTGTTTGTGCGCGTGGTGTCCCTTTCTGTCAAATGGGTCCTAGGTTTTCTGCCCTAGGAAGAGTAAGGTGGGCATTGCCATAAACATCCATCCAGCAAAGGTGCCTCTGCACACCCCGCGGGCTGCCAGTGCGGTTATGGCGTGCGGTGGCGGCCATGACGTGGTCGCGGCCGCTCAACAGAGGCTTGAGGCATTGAAATATCTCGCGGAAGCTATCGAGACGGAGCAGGGGCTCAAGGAGGGCCACTTGCGACAACTGCAAAGACGATTAGAGGACCTGCAACGGGAAAAGGAGTCTGTACGCGACCGCACACGCGAGGTTAGTGCCGATACTGCCGTTGTTCTGAATGAACTGCGCGCTGTGGAGGAACTTGAGATGCTAGACAACATGCTCGTGGAGAAGAACACGCAGTTACTCTTGCGGCAGGTGCGGCAAGACTCACTCCTCCAGCAACTGGCCAACATGGAGGCTACAATAGAGGATAGTGCGCATGTGAAGCGGTGGCGGATGGCCGAAAGCACATCAGAAGTGCAAGCTTCTGAGTGCGAAGCCGAGTGGGAATTTTTCTGCGGGCGTCTGCGGCGCCGCGTGGACGGAGTAGACCGCTGCTGTCTTGGTCACACCTTCCACTTGGTGAACCATCCCGTTTCGGTATTCCACCAAAGCCTGCGCAAGATGTATCGCATGGCATGTAATCGTGAGGAAGAGCTGGCTCTACAGCTCGAGTCCGTCGATGCACAGTTGGAGCATGCGACATCACTTGACGACGCGCTGCGCGGCATTGAGGCTGATTACAAACACGAAATGGGAGGACTAGAGCGCGGCAACCAAGATGAAGTGCAAGCCTTGGAGGAAGCAGCGTCAGTGGAAAATATGGAGCTGTGCAAGGCCCTTCAGGAGGCCATGGACACGCGCCGCCTCCTCATTGGGCAGTTGCAGGCCAAAGGATTTGACCCCGTAGGGGACGAGTTCCAACACCCATCCTTGATTGGTGTTCTGGAGAACGCACCGTTGGTGCCGAGTGACCAGCATGACATGGGCTGTTGTGAAAATTCCGTCAATGGCAGTTCGGGTGGCACAGAAAAGACGTCGCTAAGGTCCGCAGTAATCCTCCAGCGGCCACGACTGAGTGATGGCGGCTCTGCGTCTGAAGCTGGAGTTTTCAATGCCGCCACGACTGTCGGGGCCACCGCAACTTCGGATGCGGTAGTTAAGACAATCTCTCCGGTTGGGGATTCTGCGCCGACTGGAAAGGGTGCAGGGGCGGAGTTGTTGAAGTCTCAGGTTGCCGCAGCAGAAAGAGATGTGCATCGGCTTCAGCAGGGGTATGAAACACTAAAGGAGGAAGCCGATCGAGCAGTTCGCGAGTACAAAACCAGCTTAAACGCCTTAGAGGTGAAGCTTCGTGCAGCGTGTGATGCAGTTGCAGTGCTTCAGAAGGAAAAATCCGAATGGGAAGCCCTCCAGCAGCAAATGTCCCTAATGGTTCCTTAGTGCAATGGAACGGTTTTATTTTTTTTTTTTTGTGGCGCACCACAAAACAAAGGAATGGCTGGGAGGCTGGGCAAAAGCGAAAAAAATAAGAAGAAAAAAAGGATGTCAAGATGATGATGGTGGTGGTGCTGGCTATTCCCTGCTATCATCGGCACACTTCTCTGGCTCTGTCTCTTCATTCCATTTACAGGGTCATGTTTAAGCACGGCCTCATGAGCGTCTCAAGCAACGATGGCGCACCGCTCCAATCCCGCAGCGATGATCTGGAAATCTCCTTGGCGTATTCCGCCGGTGAGGCCACAGCGGGGGCGCTTCCGGAGAAATTCCTGAAATGCTTCCCACAAATGGTTCGGGATGTCTCCCTCTTTGGCGACATTCCCCTGCTTTCAATCACATCGTGCCAAAGAGAGGCCCTCACCGCGCTGGTGTCCTCCTACGGACCTTCCTGTATCGCCGTCGTTGCTGATTCTGAAGGACGATTCCACCTGCGCAGTGGCCCCGAGAACCCATACCTGCCGGCTATGCTCGCTAAGGAGTTGCGTTACCTGCACGACGAAGGCTCTAAAGCGCCAGAAGATAATCCACTCGTGCTAAAGTGGGCATTTACAAATCGTAGCGTACACCGCGAGGTGGTGACACTCCTGCAACTCCTCGCGCAGGACATGGGTGTATTCTGCGGGGAGAAGCTCTTCGACGGTGTGTATCTGTATCGTATTGAGGTTGCTCTTCATTACCTTCCGCAATGGGAGGCGGAGAGGCGGAAAATCCTTAATCTCTCAGTTGAGGTTGGCGCCGATCCTTTTCCAATTCCAGTGCAGACGTTGCAAAACCCACGCTTAATGGACATGTACCGTAGATGCGTACGCCCGTTTCTCTACGAGTGGAACTATACCACAACACGGTGTGATTTAAACATTCGCCGGGAGCCTAATGGTCAAGTGCCGAGGGAGGTGCGTGCTTTGGGTGCTTCCTTCTCGCTTCGACATGAAGTTAACTCGTCGGGGTATGCTTTTTTTCGGCGTTGGACGCGGCACCTTGTTCAGGTCTTTTCCAAGTACGCGGCCGAGTTGAAGCGACAGGATTCTAAAGGTGTCGAAAGGACGCTGGCGAGTTATGGCGGAGACCTTGACCTTGTAGATGTAGAGACCACAACACCACATTTTGGTTTCTTTACGTACTGCCTTGAGGGGCACTATTTTCGCAAAGATCTGGGGGAGCTCGAGGAACTCGCTCGCCGCACCGGGTACTATATGTACGTGTCAATGGAAAAGGATTTGGCGATGGTCACAGCGACCGCGCGAGCGAGGCCAGCGCTGGGGGAGGGATTTGTTCTGCTGTACCCAAAAGCAGGCAGCAATCTGCAGAAAACTACAAAATATGAACCGCCATCGTATGAAGTTGCTGGTATGCCACGCGGTATGCCTCAGCAGACTAGTACGTATCATCAGTTACAACAATGCAGTCCGAGTGGTGTCCATAAGGGGGTACCACAAGCGGTGCCGGGACGATGCGCTGATGTTGTTCCTCCCATGCATTTTGGCGAGAATAGTAGCGGTGAAAACAGCAGTGGAACCAGCAGCAGCAGCGACAGCAGTAGCGACAGCGACAGCAGCAGCGTGAGTGAAGACAGCCGTTGGAAGGCTCCAACGAATACAACAGAGGTACGTGCTTCTCTGCCTCCAATTCTTTCTGTCATGAGAGAGAGTGAAAACAAAAGCAACTCCTCACGACGTCTTTCACTTGCTGCAAGCAGTCTATACGACACCATTGTGGGCCGGTTGCAGCGTAACTTGCCACCTGGGTGGAATGTGCGGCTCGGTCCTGATGGGAGGCGGTATATACTGGATCACTTAAGGGGAAGGGCATACGATAGAGATTCGCCGGTGATATCAATGGAGTATGCAGCGGCACAACGCGAGTTGTACAGGGTTTCGGACTCTTTGGCATGACGTTTACTCCCACGTTGGGGCATTTTGATCACTGCTCTGCGTTGGTCGGCGTATGGGTGTATGAATAGGCTCCAATGGACCAATTAATCGTGTTTTTTCTTCTGGTGGGGCGCCAGATCTTTTTGTTTGTTTCTGCAGACCCAGCAACCCCGAGGTGCTGGGCGGTGAAAAAGTAGGGTATGATCAGATCCCCTTTACCCCTGCACCCCTGTTTCTTTTTTTTTTTTGCCTCCGTGCAATTGCGCCCGTTCGTGTGTGACCCCTGATGTTTTTGGATAGTATTGATTTATTCTGCTTTTGTTCATTGCGCGGCAATACCCCCCTCCCCCCTACACACACACACACACAAAGTGCCTGCAGACGCATACAAGGTGTGCAGAAGAAAGAAGGAAAGAAAGAAGGGTGATCCGTCCAAAGAGCGTCAAAACGCCGTCGGTGATACATCAAGTGCTATCGCTTTCGAAATCGTAGGAGAGAGTGAGTAGAGGTGCAAAGTGGAAAGAAGAAATATCCGACGACAATAGACTCTACAACTTGCTCATCAAGCAACTCCACACTCACACAGGCACACGCAAGGCTGAAGACAAGGAGTGAGAGGTAGAGAGTGAGTGAGCAAGTGATTGAACAGGAAACAGGAAAGAGAACGTGCTAAGTACTGCCTTGTGCAGCATCAGAAGCAGGACGTGACGGCCACAGTATGCTGGAGGAGGCGACACCACGCGCGCAACTCCACTTGCAGCGCATTCTCACCGGCTTGTCGGATGGCCCAAACGGAGACACTTCAGCAGTGGCGCCGATGCTGGTGCGAAGCTCCCCACCGCGTCACATTGTGCCAAAGGGTCGCATCAACATGGGGGTGCCACAGATGAACACTCAATCACACCGCGTAGACACGCGTGACCGAGCTTCCACGGGGATTTCAGCTGCGCATAGTAGCAGCGGTAGCCGTGTTGCAATGGCCAGGGGGTATTCGACATCGCCGCAGTACAAAACCGCTGCGACCTCTCCTCGGGCGAAGGCCTCCCGTGCGTTAGTTGATATGCTAGATTACTCACAGGATTCAGATCTGCGACGTCATTCGCCCTCTCACGAAATAAGCCCTCAAAGCGTCGCCCAACGACCGCGACGCATTGTTGGGGTCCCCAGAGGAAAGCTCTCTGTGTTCCAGGACTTCTCAACGAAGGGGACTGAGGCCGAAGATGCGGCGACACCCGTGCGGTTTTGCGGCTCCACATTTGACTCAAGGCGTTTGCTGCAGCAGATTGGAGAAGAAGAGAGAATCCGACGGCACTTCATTGAGGAAGTAGCCGCCTCACATATTGAAGGGATGCGGCAAGCCAAGTGCTATGGAGAAGTCTTGCTTAGACTACTTAAGGATGCAGCAACCACCCTGACACAAGTCTCTCGGTTTGTACGCACCCCCGCTGAGGAAGTTGTACGGAACCCAGAATGGCACCTGACGCGTGTCAGAGATGTCACACAGCAGGAAGCCCCTATGAACGTGAAGGATATGTTATTTTGCCTGCAGCGCATACCGGCAACCATGGCTGCCAACTACGAGCGCCTCATGTCGGCTGCTCACGGGGTCAGCGAAGTGGAGGAGCCAATGCCTATGCTCTCCATACCTCAGCCGCACCCACCACAGCACTACTTGCAGCAACAACAACATCAAAACTTGGCATCTCATGAAGCAAATTTGTATGTCCGCCGACCATCCTCTCTATTCTCTTGGTGTGGGGGTATGCAACCGGTTGTGTCTCGTCCGTGCCAATCGCTCAGTGGGCCCATGAGTCCCCATGGGCCGGGTATACTTAATGGGAGTTTTGAGAGTGTCGATGAAATGCCTTCCACCTCAACGTTTATGGCCAACATGGTAACACGTCACACGGAGCGTGAAGTGGATGCGGCGTGGGCAGTGGAGGACCTCCAAGAAGAAACTGTCTACTGGCAGGAGGAGGCTCTTCGAGCCATGTCGGAGGCGGAGAGGTATCTGCAAATGGCGTACACAGTACTCGGCTGGCCCCTGTCAGGTCCCCAAAATGGGGGTGGCGAATTGGGGCCACGAAGGATGTCTGTAACTGCGATGGGGTCGCCTTCGCAGAGGCTAGCCGTGCACTGCGCCTTTGTAGAGTTACTTCAAAAGATGGAGGAAGGTGGGCGAAGCAAAATCGAGGCACAAGAAACGCAGGGGTGGTTGGAGCTTCGCTCGAGTATATGGAATACACATTGTGTATGCAATTGCTCAGGTACAAATGGCGATGCCGAAGAGGGTTATCAGCAGCTGGAGAAGGAGAACAAGGAAGAGAAAGCAAGGAAAGGGGACAACAACGGTTGTGTCCAGTCTTCTGATCGAGTGGGTAACGCTTCACGCCTCTTCAAGCATTGCTGGACAAAGGGGGTCGCCGAGTCTACCCCATCAAAGGACAATTGTGCTGTGTCCGACAGCGATGATGATGACGAGCTCCCGGAGACGGCGCTTCGGCGTCTGCGCCTTGCGCAGCATCGCATCGAGGAGTTGGAGGCAGCAAACTCATCCCTCCGTGCTTCACTGTTGGAAAGAATCTCGTCATGATGCATGGTGATGGGGTCTGAGCGCGCCCAACATGCATTTATGTCTCCCCCTTGGATCATTTGCACCTACTTTTTTTTT